TAATATTAGATGCTGAAATACAGATTTCAGTTCCCAGTGTTAACCATCCAGGCTGGAAAATTTTATCCTGGTAAATACTTTAATGTTAAGTTCATTGTTAGAATGGATTAAGGAATCCCATTTTGTATTGCAAAGATGTTTCCATCTATTAGACTTGTTTCTGCCTTTTGTTTTTCAAACCTCTAATTTACTTCATTCTCAATAGTTTGACAATTCTTTTGTCTGCCCCCTCCCCTTCCACATCACAGTTAGGTGGTAGAATTTATTATTCTCCCCTGTTTTTTGTTTTTGCATGGCAGGTATCCTTTACGCTCCTTTCTTTTCTCCACTCAAAGTGACTGTGTCAGTCTGTTTCCAGCATCCAGCGCTATTATCTAGTCAGTCTTTGTTCTTATCAGCTTACCCCACAGCTTACAGTTACAACAGTGAGCCCCTTACAACCAATTTCATTGCTGCTGTTAAATCTACACGGTTTTAGGTCCGACTGTCTCTGGGTCTCTCATACTGAGGTCTTCCCCTTTTTATGTTGTCGATGTGATTCACTTGTTTCTTTGCAGTTTTCTCCTGCTTCCATTCCAGTTGCCTTGCTCATGAATCTCATAAGCATCACTTGGAGTGAGTGAATGAGCTGACCTCTGGTCCAGCGTTCCCTCTCCGATTTCCCATCCACGAGCGGAGTGAGCTTTGTCTTCGGCACCAATATTGAGGTCATGTGCGCTTGTTTGGCTGTGCCCTGCTGTGGCATCCAAGATATAAACTGCTCCTTTTCCCCCTCTGCTACCATGTCTCCTCTCGCCCCATCTGTTCCTCTGCCTGCTGCTGCCCCTCCACCCCTCACCTTTCTCTGCTGTCCTGGCTCCTGCCCTTCTCACTACCCTCAGCCCTCCTGGGACTTTCCCCACCTCCCCATCATCTCTGACCTCTGCACCTGGCCTGCCTTCCACCTCTCCCCATGCCCACCCTTCCTCAAGCTCCCCTCCCCATCCCCTTTCCTAACACCTCCCTCTACCCCCTGCCATGACTCTCTCCGCTGCCCTCTGGTGCTCATCCCTCCCCTTGTCCCCTCCCTATGTCTGCCCTTCTGCTTCACCCCCACAGTTCCCCTGGCACATGCGCCTTCCCTTACCGGTACCCTCCTGGTGCCTGCCCCTCCCCTCCCAACACCTGCCCCCCTTGCCGTCTTCCTCTCTGGTGCCCACCCCTCACCACCCTCTGCCCCAGTTCTCCTCATGCACCTCTGCATTCTCATGCATGACTTACTCCATCCCGCACCTTCCTTATGTCCATCCCTCTTTCAACCTCTCTTCTCCCGGCACCCACAGGGAACCCTGTTCTGGTCCATAGTAAGCAATTCTCCTCTCGCTTGTACATTCTTGCTCTGTGTATCTCTGCTGCTTTTGGTGCAGTTACTCTTGGTTTGGACAGGCCTGAAGGAGAACAGAAGTAGGTCCCGAATGTATTTAAACATCTCACTACTTCTCTCTTTCAGAAATAGCGCAGCAAAGCAACTTTCTCCACTGAACAGCGATGCCTTTCCCCCGAGTCTGAATTGATTCATTTCTTTGTTGGGAGCTAAGTGGAATCCTCACTTCAGTTTCATGGGGCTGCGCACCGGGCTATAATTCTAAGTGGTGGTGATTTTTGGATTGCAGTAGTGCAGACCCCGTTGTGTAAAGCATTATACCAGTGCATAATAAGAAACAGGCGCTGCCCTGAACAGCTTAGAATAGGCAAGACAGGCAAAAGATGCAAGATCTGAAATCAAGAGTGATAGTTATGTAAGTGTTCTGGTAACATAACAACTGGGAGTCACCAAAAGAAATTAATGGTAGCAACTTTAAAACAAACAAAAGGAAATATTTCTGCACACAGTCAACCTGTGGAACTCCTTGCCAGAGGATGTTGTGAAAGCCAGGGCTCTAACAGGGTTCAAAAAGAGCTATATACATTCACGGAGGATAGGTCCATTAATGAGCTCTAACAGGGTTCAAAAAGAGCTAGATACATTCACGGAGGATAGGCCCATTAATGGGCCTATTATCCAGGATGGGCAGGAATGGTGTGTTTCTAGCCTATTTGTTAGACGCGAGGAGCTCAGTGGGCGATGGGACAGATTCTTCCTCTCTGGTGCCCACCCCTCACCACCCTCTGCCCCAGTTCTCCTCATGCCCCTCTGCATCCTCATGCATGACTTACTCCATCCCCCACCTTCCTTATGCCCATCCCTCTTTCAACCTCTCTTCTCCCGGCACCCACAGGGATCCCTGTTCTGGTCCATAGTAAGCAATTCTCCTCTCGCTTGTACATTCTTGCTCTGTGTATCTCTGCTGCTTTTGGTGCAGTTACTCTTGGTTTGGACAGGCCTGAAGGAGAACAGAAGTAGGTCCCGAATGTATTTAAACATCTCACTACTTCTCTCTTTCAGAAATAGCGCAGCAAAGCAACTTTCTCCACTGAACAGCGATGCCTTTCCCCCGAGTCTGAATTGATTCATTTCTTTGTTGGGAGCTAAGTGGAATCCTCACTTCAGTTTCATGGGGCTGCGCACCGGGCTATAATTCTAAGTGGTGGTGATTTTTGGATTGCAGTAGTGCAGACCCCGTTGTGTAAAGCATTATACCAGTGCATAATAAGAAACAGGCGCTGCCCTGAACAGCTTAGAATAGGCAAGACAGGCAAAAGATGCAAGATCTGAAATCAAGAGTGATAGTTATGTAAGTGTTCTGGTAACATAACAACTGGGAGTCACCAAAAGAAATTAATGGTAACAACTTTAAAACAAACAAAAGGAAATATTTCTGCACACAGTCAACCTGTGGAACTCCTTGCCAGAGGATGTTGTGAAAGCCAGGGCTCTAACAGGGTTCAAAAAGAGCTAGATACATTCACGGAGGATAGGCCCATTAATGGGCCTATTATCCAGGATGGGCAGGAATGGTGTGTTTCTAGCCTATTTGTTAGACGCGAGGAGCTCAGTGGGCGATGGGACAGATTGCTTGATGGTTCCCTGTTCTGTTCATTCCCTCTGGGGCACCTGGCATTGGCCACTCTTGGAAGACAGGACACTGGGCTGGATGGACCTTTGCTCTAACCCTGTATGTCCACTCTTATGAGTTTGGAGTAGGACACAGGTGTCCTCCTGACTCCTAGTCCGGTGCCCAATTCTCTAAGTCCTGCTGCCCTCCCAGATAACTAGATGCTCAGTCCTGCACATCAGGACTCCATGTGTAACCTCTGCCCGGCAATGGGCTGTGCCTGTCCGGGAATTAGTATGGAAGCTGGTTTGGATTGTATCCATTGGCTGACGGCCAGCGGTATCCGCCTTCAGAGCCAGCTTCTGAGCTGTAACGCTGGAAGCCCTGTAAAACGCACTTGTAAGATTCTTCCATTCCTCTTCCTTAGCACCTCCCTCTCTGGCACCTTTCACTGACCATCAGGCTGAAGGCTTCTGTCACCCACTGAGCTCACCGAGGGAAACTGGCTCAAGGCTCCCCATCACTGCAGTGTGGAAGGGGAATGCCACGGTAGACTGCCATCCTCTGAACCAATGGTTCCCAAACTTTTTGGCATCACGCCCCTTTTTTGATTTTTGAGAAACCCTCTCCTCCCCTCCCCTCCCCCCGCCAATAGCAGCAACACTTGTTGAGCCAAAAAAAGGAACTGACTGGGGCCGAAAAACAAAAATAGCAGCAAAACTTGGGTCGCCTCACACCCCTCCTGGAATTTCTTCACACACCCCCAGTTTGGGAACCCATGCTTTGAACCAATGGGGAGCTCCCTGTGCTGGCAGCTGGCCCATTTTTCCTCTCCCCACAAACTCCCAAAGAACAGCAGGGAGCGCATGCTTTGAACCAATGGGGAGCTCCCTGCATTTTTCCTCTCCCCGCAAACTCCCAAAGAACAGCAGGGAGAAGTGTCTTCTGTCCCCAGTGCACAGAAAACACACATTGCAGAAGCCCTTGTTTCGTTGCTGGGGAATAAGTGGCAAGCGCTTTAGGATTGGACCATCTGCTTCCTTTGGTCCCGGTTCTGGATAGCACTCCTGCCTGGGCTTAACTCTATCTCTTTTTAGGACAGCTGCAAGCAGGTGCTTCTACACCATTCCTGATGGTAGGGTGAATTGGGGCCACTGTGGATGGGGCTGTACGTGTAGTGCCATCATTTATGTGTTTGGATAATAAACCACATTGTGCCTTAAACACTTGCTTACAGGTCCCTGGGAAGGTCACATTGTGCTAATGCTGCATTGCACGTATTGGCTAGGAATATCTTTTGTTGCTCTAAAGGCTGCAGGATGCCCAGGCAGCAAATATACGGTCTATGGCAGAGAGAAATCCTGGTGAGTCAGATTTCCTTGGAGCAGAGAGAAATCTCTAATTCCAGAACAGGAAAATTTAGGGCAGTAATGCAGTGGATTAGCAATTCCTTGGACTACCAAGAGGCAGATGCCCAGTTGCATGCTGGGAACCCACATCTTCATCAGCAATCCAGGTTAATAAAACCTGCAATGAATAATCCCAGAGATTTAGGGAGCTTCCAACAGACAAAATCAATTTCAAGGAAATCCAGCCTTTGTGAAAGGACAGATTCCATGGGTAGTTTATTAAATGACTCAGAATGATGAGAGAATAGTGTATATGGGAATACTTGACCATATACAAACTTTGCTTAGTTTTATTTATTAAATACATTTATTCTTGACAGGTTTGAAAGTAACTTTTCTCTATCAAGAGGACAATTCCAGAGATAAACTGTTGTACTTATGGCACATCTTGTTTGCAGGATGAATGATGAATCTCTCCAAAGATGTGCAAACTTGTTTTTAGTTTGTTAGTGGATGAATGCTGATTATCTGGTTGCTAAGGTCTCTTTCACTGTTTTTATCTGGTTAATGGACCACACTTTCTGTAAACTGATGACAATGTCATATTGAGATTTTTTTCAACTTCATACGAGTATGCTGGCTTCCTCAAAAGTTGTCTTGTGCTCTGTTTATTTAGGGGCCTAAGCATACAGCATCTGTGGTACAAAAAGATTCTGAAGTCCCTGGCTTAAGTGGAAGTTTGTCCAGAGCTGACCTTAACTAAAGATAACCTGACTTGAACACATGCAGACCATGTTGCATAGCTCCAAGGTAAGGCCGGGGCCTAATTTGTTTGAATTCCTTAAAGGGAGGGGTTACAAAGCAGAGTGAACAAAGCTTGTAAAGCAGAAAACTCAAGGGTGAGACTGAGAAGCATCCCCTTTCAGGTCCTACAAGCTACCAAATGGAAAAAACAATATTTCAGAATCCTCAGCACTGCTCACTGTGAGGAAGATTTCAAGACCTCACAAACGGGTATTTGTACACTTGGAGAAGGTCTATTAGCGAGAAGTTCTGTGTGAAGATAACACCACTAGCTGCTGTTTCATCCCTTATTCATGAGAGTTTGTGAACATCCTGTTATCTCAAGAATCTTTCTTTTGCTTTTTCTGTTTTGCTTTTGTGTTTATTAAGTGGGACGCTAATCAGCCCTTTCATATTCTTTGAATTTTAAGGGTGTTAAAAGTGTGGTCATCTTGCCTGAGTGCCTGTATAGTCCCTAGGGGAAAGGCAACAGAATGAGCTCATGAGGTTTAAGCAGCCCTAAACAGCCTCTTACAGAAATTCATGAAATCATGTTACATATACTGTGATTAAAAGACCTAAAGAGCTGTGAACTGTGGTATATGAATGTTCTGTTGCAGTCTGGCAATAGTATGCCTGTTGGAAAGGAAATGGATAGTCACTACATAAGAATATAAATCTAAGGAGGAAGTTTTATACGTAGCTCTAAGTTTGTGGTTTAGACATTAGATAATCATTTTGGTTTCAGTATCAAAATACGTAAGCATCTGCAGATTAGTAGCTTTGATTGACTTTAGTAAAATTCCTTTAATTGTTCACTGTAACCTCATATATGGCTGCATCTACACTAAAAAGAAAAGTTGGGAAAAGATACACAAATTGCAAACCACAATTTGCATATCTAGTTCCGCTTTTCTTTCGGAAGAGGCTTTTCTGAAATTTGATGCATCTACACCGTGTCCAATTTTGGAAAAACCTCCTTTTGGCACATGGGATGGTGAAAGAATGCATCTGCTTTTTTGGAAACTGTTCCAAAAAAGCAGACGCGTTCCTTGGACACAGCATTGCTTTTCCGGGATGCCTCCGGTATCCCAGAAAAGAGCCGAAGTGTAGACGTAGCCATAGACAGCCACTTCCTTGGGTCCCTTCGTAGGAATTATAAGATTCAATCCTGGGTATGGATTTGATGATTTAACTCACTTGATTCAATTCTCTTCACATGTGTGAAGAGAACTTGGGTTTTTTTTCAACATTATTTGTTTTGTTCTTAATATAAAAACTGTAGTTTAGCTGTGGTGATGTTTCCCTGATACTTATTTCTTTGTTTAATGTTTTTAATAAAATTTATGAAAATGATACTGGGTCATATTTGTTTCAGCAAGTAACATGGGGCCTGAAGTTTCAAGGACCTAGGGAGGTATCAGATGGTCACACTAAAATCCTGACCAGCTTCCCCTAATTAGCCAGTTGGTTCTCTGGGAAAAGATGAAGTTGATAATTCTGTATATTACTTACCTGTGACATGTTGTTTCACTTTCACTCTTAATACCAGTAGTTATGCAGCTGGTGGAAAGGTGCCACATGCTTTCTAGTGTCAGAATTACCCCAGTAAATGTTTTGTGAGGGAACGGGCTGATGTTAATTAAAACAGAGATGTATTTACTAGCACCTAATGTTATGTAAGTGAACTTGTTTTACCAAACCCACGGGGATGTAGAAACCCCTAAGCACAAACTCTGCAGCTTATTTCTACATTATTTACAGAGGAAAAACCCGCCTGCATTTATTTTGTAACTAATGGAATCCTTCCACTTCACAGTGAAGGAAAAAAGAAAACCTGGCAATAGCTCCAAATCCAGGCCCACCAATGGTGCATGTAGGGGTGGGGCAAAGGGGTGATCGAAAGCCGGCAGCAGCAGTAGATGGGGTTGTGGGCCCCTTTGAATTGCTGAGGGGCTGGCGGGTGAGGGAGCTAGATGCAACGCAGTCCTGGCAATGTGGAGACCTAGCTGCCTCCACCCTGCCCCTTCTGCCAGAGGTCTCACCCCTTCTGAGGGATGAGAGCCACCGCCCCCACCTTGCGACGGGGCTTGTGGTGTTTGTCAGCCTGGCCGTCCAAACCTGATAAATTCTGAGCAGCCCCTTTGTACCTCTGACACCTTCCTACTCGAGCTAGCTTCAGGTACTGTAATCCCAATGATTTATATGGGGGGAAAAAGTCATTGCTGACTATGAGGTGTAAGAATCATGCATTGTGCTGAAAGTAACCCCAACAAACTTCTACAAAGCAGTAACACCTTTTATCTCTTAAAGACAGAGCAATGTTTTGGTAATGAGTGATAATCAGATGAAGGGAAATCCTTTGATCATGTAGCTTCTTAAATTTTCAGAGTCTTTACTGAGACCAATGGATATAACTAGCCTTTTTCTGCCTCATTCACCTGATCATGCATTGTGCTGAAAGTAACCCCAACAAACTTCTACAAAGCAGTAACACCTTTTATCTCTTAAAGACAGAGCAATGTTTTGGTAATGAGTGATAATCAGATGAAGGGAAATCCTTTGATCATGTAGCTTCTTAAATTTTCAGAGTCTTTACTGAGACCAATGGATATAACTAGCCTTTTTCTGCCTCATTCACCTGATAATACAAGTACATGTGTTCAAAGTTCTCTCATTTTCATTTCCACAATTACCATTGCTATCCCCAGAAGCTGGAATAGGTTCTGTGAAAGTTCACTAGGGCTTAAAAAGCTTTTATGTTAACCTGAACTGACTAACAGGAGCCCTCAAAACTCATGAAGGGGTTCTGCCTTTTGCAAGATTTCCACAGTTGTAAAAACAGGTGAAATGTGATGGGCTTGAGTTTATGATGGATTTATTTAACCCAGGTTACTCAGTGTAAAACTAAGAGGGATGTGAATCCCTAGAGATCAAAACGGAAGGAATCCCCAGCAACGTGACACCGTTGCGTGTTTACATTGCTCTGGTCCAAGGTGAGTTTCCAGAGAAGTGTCTGCTTCCTTACTTGTTCTGTGCTTGTCATCATTGGGTTTGGGGAGCATACGGAAAATGAGATAAGTATTGAATCACCAGAAATCTCCAGTCTCAAGAAAGAGAGGGATACTCTATTTAGTTGTCGGGTTGGTCTTTTAAATGGGAAGGGTTTGAGGGGGTTGTAGCTAAAACATTTATTTAACAGTCAAACGGTTACCAAAAGATTGGCTTTCTTGTGATTTTAACAGTCAAACGGTTACCAAAAGATGTGGCTTTCTTGTGATGTGTGTGGGTTTTTTTTTTTTTTTTTTTTTTTTTTAAGATTGGAGGCTAGATTCACAGTGCTCATCTGTGCTGGCGGAAGAAAATCAAGGTAAACGTGGTTTTAAGTCGCCTTCCTGATTCCCGGATTTTTGGGGATGCTGATGGAGTTGGTTTAACCCATTGGAGGAATGTAACCCTGAAGGCTGTTTTCACTTCTGCTGGTAGCAGAGGTCTCCAAGGAGCCATTACACCAGATAAAAACGGTGGAATGTAACCCTGAAGGCTGTTTTCACTTCCGCTGGTTGCAGAGGTCTTCAAGGAGCCATTACACCGGATAAAAATCAGATCTGCAATTAGAATGAATGACCCAGTAGCTAGATATCCTCTCAGTTTCATTTTCAGGATATGGTCATAATTATTCTGGCAATATACAGGGGAGTTTGGATAGAGAAAATAGAAACTCTCTCAAATTTGTGAACTTTTACCTTCAATTTCTACTGTGTGTGTTGTGGAACAACCAAATGTATACTAATTTAATATGTTCATGGATTTCACAGTATCTTTTTGCTGGGTAGACGCTGTCAATTTTATTGCATAGTGATATCTAAGGCATATTCTCCTTACCATTTTCTTTTGAAGTTTGGTGGCCAGCCCAGGAAAAATAATAGAGATGTCCTGAGCCCAATTTTAAATGCTCCATAGTGTGTTTCCATCATTTTCATATGGAGTTTAATTTATGTAATGAAAAATAATACGCTATTTGAAGCTACAATACAGGAAAGACAACAGTCCAATTTATCTGAATTTAAACAAAGGAATAACAAATAATAAAAGAAGTAATGATCCATAGTTAGCTTTCAAGCAGTTGACAAAGTATTTGTTGAATGAGGTCTAGAGAAGAGGTGAAGAGACAATGAACAGATTTTTTTTTGTTCAATGAAGAACACCAAATTGCCTTTTAAAAAAAATTTTAGACTAATTTTGTATGTGATATTTAAGTTAGAAATTGTCTCTGAAGCCCCAGATGACTTAAGGGCTGACATCAGCAATGAAATGATGAATGATACATTCGACTTATTGGAAAAATTATCCTCCTATTACTTTTGGAGAAACTGAGGCACAGAGGAGAAATGACTTGTCCGAGCCTATCAAGCAGGTTAGTGGCAGAACGGAAAATGTAAGTCTTGGTCTCCTGTGTCCTCCTGATCCAGTGTTCTCTCCAGTAGGCCATGATATAAATAGTAATAAAATGCTGGACTTCCTGTAACAAGGTGTTTACTTACCCTTCTCCTGTTCATAAGTGTGTTTTTGACATAGGTTATACACAGAGAGTGACCGATCTGAAGAATGTCTGTTCTGTGTGTGGAGAGAGAGCAATAGATCCTTAATATATATATAGATATATAAACGCCTTGTAAAGGGAAGCCCAAACCCACACAATTTAGAAAACCTGGGGAGATGAAGAAAAAGAAAGAAAACAAAATGTCTATGGGTTTGAATTTGACACTTTTTTATTATATTTGGGAAACTTTCAGTTTTTGGTGACACTTTTTCTGCATTTACATGGGAGAGGTTTCTTTCTCTTTTAGTTATTATAATAAGATTTTGACCTCGTATGAGAAACAGCCTATTTAAAGATCATGCAGGTGGACAGAAAAAATGTTATTATAATAAGATTTTGACCTCGTATGAGAAACAGCTTATTTAAAGATTGTGCAGGTGGACAGAAAAAAAAGTGCTCAAACTACGGGTGCTGGGGGTCTACTATAAAAGCTCTTTCAGTCCCCCCCTCCCCCCCCGGGGCAGAAATACAGCAGGACTCTGAACAAGGCCTGATAGATAAGAGAATGCTT